TCCCGGGCAGGCCCCGGCGGAGCGGCCGGGCCCACAGCCAGCCTGCGCCCGCCCTGCAGTTTCCTGGATGCCCCGGGGACACGGACAGGGCTCGGCCCTTGGCCGACAGGGCCTAAGCTGTGTGTGTTGGCAGAAGGGCCTGCGGCCCGGAGCCCCTCGGTGGCCCTTTGTGGCACCGCTGCCTGTGGGTGTGTTGATGTGCTCGTTGCTTTCTGAAGGGCGGGAATCCGCGCAGGGGATGTCCTGTGTCCTTCGGCGGTGAAGCTGGGGCCTGTGCAGGGCCAGCTGGCTAGGACAGCGGTGGTGGGACCCAGCAGCGGGCAGAGACAGACCCCAGGGCTGCCGCTGCCTGGATCCCGAGCTGGAGAGGGCCGTGGATAGGGAGCCTTCTAGGGCTTTGTCCCTTTTCTGGTTATGGGCTCAAAAGGTCCTGACCTGCTTGGTCACCATCAGTGGGCCTGGAAATGGGTGGGGGTAGGAATGACAGCCACCCTGAAAGGGGTTCCTGGGGTGGAACTCGGGTTGGGTGAGCCTGGAGGAGGCCTGTGCACAGGGGTGCGCAGCCTGGACCTGGGGACTTTCCTGGATGCAGACCCTGCTGCCCCAGCGGCCAGGAGCTACGGGAGTTCATCCACCTAGTGACCTGGTCCTGAAACAGATGGTTCAGAGCCAGGCCTGGCCAAAGCTGAGCCAGCAGCCGCTCCCCTGCCCAGGCTCTGAGCCCCAGGTTGTTGCCTGGCCCCTCTGCTTTGTCTTCACCCCTTCCTGGATTCCCCCCCCCCAGCCCCGCACCTCCATAAAGGTGCTGCCACAGTCCTCCAGCCCTCCCCTCCCCTGTGTCGGCTGGACTCCCAGGCTGGCCAGTGTAGGTCCCCAAATTGGAGAAGGTAGGGGCAGGCCTGGGAGGAGCCCAGGCAGTTAGGGTAAGCCCCACCCCCACGCCCCCACAGGCACCGCAGGCAGGTCTGAGCAGGGCCTGCAGCCTGTCATCTGCACTTGGGCCCAAGCCAGCGAGGCTCCAAATCGCTACCTGAGGATGTGTTTTCTGCTCGAATTGGCAGCAGTGGTGTGGGGGCAGGGAGGCCCTGGAGGAATGGGGCGGGCCAGCGCGTGTCCCGTGTGGCTCTTTGCCCCTGTGGCTGGCCGGCTGGGATGGGATGGGATGGGATGGGATGGCTCTTGCTGTCCTTGGCGCCTGGCTCAGATCTTAGGGCCATCTCTCTTTCTGCTCCCAGCTATTTCCTTCAGATGTCCCAGCAGGGGACAGGATCTGGGTGGAGGGCCAGACCTAAGGGTGTTGGCGTGTTCAGAGGGCAGTTCTGGCATCCTTGTCCCTCCTGGGGCACACTGTGGCTGCCAGGTGTGGAGCTGGTGCCGTGATGCCAGCCTCCTGGGTGGGCAGCAGTCCTGCGGCTGCGCTGCGTGACTTGCGGCAAGTGCAGCTCTGCCCCGTGAGCTGCGGTGCGTCAGGTCTGGGTGTTTACCGGTGCACTTGACTCCCGCTGGAGATGGTAGATGGTGTTGGGGCCTAGACAGAGGCTTCAGTGGGCAGGTAGAGTGGACTCTGTCCAGCACAGCCTGGGACTGTCTGGCTCCCTGGAGTAGCTTAGGAGCGTTCCCTGTAGAAGGACATGTAGAAGGCCAGGCTCCACATGTACTCTCCCTTGCTATCCACGGCCTGTGGCTCTGTGTCTGTCTCAGGCTCTGCCGTCTTGCGTGGGTGAGCCATGGGGTTGCCCCAGTGAGGGGGGCTGCCGCTTTCTCCGGATGGCTCTCAGGAGGCAGTGTCCTCCTGGGTGGCAGGGTGGAAGCCATGTTGGTTCTGTGTGAGCACTCTGTGGGTGTGGCAGGTGGCTGATGGACAGTTCAGAGGAGAGAGAGAGTGAGAGCGGGCGAGCGAGCTTTCCTTGGCAAGCACAGAGGGTCAGCTATGTCGGTATAGCAGGAAGGTGGCTAGCCCAGCTTTGGAGCCCAGGAGTTCCACCCAGGGCAAGGCTCTGCTCCCTGGCCTCCTTCCTTGGAGGTAGACCACACTGTAGGTGCAAAGGGTTAGTTGTATGCTGGAATGGCTGGGTCTGGACCCTGTGGAAACACTGAGGCGGGCCTGGGGGTGGGTTGGTTCTGATGGTTCCGGCGTGCTGGGACAGGGCCTTCAGCAATGCTGGTTGGTTCTCTTCCCCCAAGACAGGTCCCAGTGCCCTGATGTTGAGGCCTCTTGAGGTTAGCTGTGGGGACCTCAGTTCAGGTCCATCCTGGAGTCCTCCCTAGATTGTCTAACCCAGCCGTCCAGCATGAGGCCAAGGTCTCTGAGGGGCAAATGGGCAGAAGAGTGTAGGTGCTGTGGTGGGCCAGTGGTGAGCGCAGGAACGGGCTGGTGAGAGTGGATGAGGGCCTGGCTCCGAGCCCTGCGTGCCCTACCCACCACAGGCCTCCGCTCTGTGCTGAAGGGCCCTGTCCCACTCTCCCTGCACTCCTTGGTAGAGCCAGGGTCCTGCCTGGCGTGGGCTCCACCAGGCTGTTTCACTCTGCATCTGGCTTCAGCCTGGCAGGTTGAGGGTCTTGCGTAAGGCTGTGGTGTGGGTCAGGGTGGGGCTCTGTCAGTGACCAGGCAGATAGAGGGCTTGCTGTCAGGGAGAGCTGACCAGCAGCAGAGCTCGAAATGGATGTCTTGGCTTTGAGATCGTGGGGGTGCTCTGGGTTGGTGTGAGCGCTCTGGGTTGGTGTGAGCGCTCTGGGTTGGTGTGGGTGCTCTGGGTTGGTGTGAGCGCTCTGGGTTGGTGTGGGTGCTCTGAACTGGTAGTGGGTAGTGTGCATCTGGGGTTAGTGTGGGTGCTCTGGGTTGGTGTGAATGCTCTGGTTGGTGTGGGTGCTCTGGGTTGGTGTGGGTGCTCTGGGTGGTTGGTGGTGTACATCTGGGGCTGGTTGGGAAGGGATTGTCACTTGCTGGAATCCTCTCAGGTGGCTCTAAGGTATCTAGGTGGGGTGTCCTGGGGAAGCCTGGCAGGACCTGAGCTAGAAGCTGTGCTGTAGGCTGGGTCTCTACTCCAGAGGATCTCTGTGCTCCATCCTGAGCTGGTCCCTGTCACCACGTTCTATACTGAGCTGGTCCCTGTCACCATGTTCCATCCTGAGCTGGTCCCTGTCCCCATCCTGAGCTGGTGTCTGTCCCCATCCTGAGCTGGTGTCTGTCCCCATCCTGAGATGGTGTCTGTCCCCATCCTGAGCTGGTGTCTGTCCCCATCCTGTGCTGATGTCTGTCCCCATCCTGAGCTGGTGTCTGTCCCCATCCTGAGTTGGTGTCTGGCCCCATCCTGAGCTGGTGTCTGGCCCCGTCCTGAGCTGGTGTCTGTCCCCATCCTGAGCTAATGTCTGTCCCCATCCTGAGCTGGTGTCTGTCCCCATCCTGAGCTGGTGTCTGGCCCCGTCCTGAGCTAATGTCTGTCCCCATCCTGAGCTGGTGTCTGTCCCCATCCTGAGCTGGTAATGTCTGGCCCTGTCCTGAGCTGGTGTCTGTCCCCATCCTGAACTAATGTCTGTCCCCATCCTGAGCTGGTCCCTGTCCCCATCCTGAGCTGGTGTCTGTCACCATGTCCCATCCTGAGCTGTGTCTGTCCCCATCCTGAGCTGGTGTCTGTCCCCATCCTGAGCTGGTGTCTGGCCCTGTCCTGAGCTAATGTCTGGCCCTGTCCTGAGCTAATGTCTGTCCCCATCCTGAGCTGGTGTCTGTCCCCATCCTGAACTAATGTCTGTCCCCATCCTAAGCTGGTCCCTGTCCCCATCCTGAGCTGGTGTCTGTCACCATGTCCCATCCTGAGCTGGTGTCTGTCCCCATCCTGAGCTAATGTCTGTCCCCATCCTGAGCTGGTGTCTGTCCCCATCCTGAACTAATGTCTGTCCCCATCCTGAGCTGGTCCCTGTCCCCATCCTGAGCTGGTGTCTGTCACCATGTCCCATCCTGAGCAGGTCTCTGTCACCATGTTCCATCCTGAGCTGGTCCCTGTCCCCATCCTGAGCAGGTCCCTGTCACCATGTCCCCATCCTGAGCTGGTCCCTGTCACCATGTTCCATCCTGAGCAGGTCTCTGTCACCATGTTCCATCCTGAGCTGTTCCATCTCCATCCTGAGCAAGTCCCTGTGCCCCTCTTGAATTGTCCCCTGTCCCCTCATCCCATCCTGAGCTAAGCGTGAACAGCTGGCTGAGCCAGCTGCAATCCCAGGTGAGCGTGAAGAGATGGGGACCCCGTTTTCAGTCAGTACCTGGGGTCCCCATGAGTGAGGCACCTGGGCAAGGCGCTGCCCTCTCTGGTGTGGAGCATGGACATCTGGGCTCATTCATGGGTGGGCCTGCCGTCTGCTTGTGCTGTGGCCCTGTCCCCTGGGGGGGAGGGCGTCCCTTGGGTGACAATGGGTTGCATAGACCTGGCCTCTCCAAAGCTCAGGTTTCATGAAATGTATCTCTGCTAGGGCTTATGGTGCTGGTTCTAAGAGCTGCTGTTCTGTGGGATGCTGACCTGGGCTCTCGGCTCTGGAGGCCTGGCCCACAGGGTGCCTGGGCTTCGGCTGCCCTGGGTTGTGGGGTGTCCTGGGCAGTGAGGTGCTGGGGCCGGGGTGCCGCGCACCTGTTCCCATGCCTATTCTTTCCATGCTTTTGGTCTCCTGCCCTGCCAGGCACGTTGGGGGACTTGGAGCCAGTCGGAAGATGATGAGATGAACTTGGGCTGGGATGTGTCCTTGGGGCCGCTCAGGCTACGCTTACGGGAGGAGCACAGCAGGACCTGGAGCAGAGCCCTGTTGCTGGAGAGGCCTCTGGATGTTGGGACACAGGTGGCCAGCCAGGCTGGTCTGGAGGGAAGGACCTGGTTCTTCTACTGTGGCTGAGGAAACTGCTCTCTAATCTGCCCCTTCTCCCCGTCCTCTGGCCCCACAGCCCACGTGTCCCCACAGAACTCCAGCCCAGGGCAGGGTCCCTTCCGTGAGGTAGGACTAGAAGCGATGAGCCCTGCCCAGCCACGGCCCCGGGCCAGGTGACCACGGCCCTTTGCTTTGCCGTGAAGGGCGCATCCTGGAGGCTGGCGGGTGGCGGGGGCTGTGGTGGCAGGTGGGGCCGCTCAGCCGGCCTGCGGCTCAGGTTCTCCAGCTTCCTGCCGTCCAGGTGTAGGGAGCCCAGCTGGCGGGCGGCAGGCAGGAGTGTGTCCCTATGGGAGCTGGTAACCGGAGCCCTAGGCTCGGGCTGAGGGGGAGGTAACTCTACCTGTGCGGCGGGCGTGGGTTTCCTGGGAGCCGGGAGAGGCTTCTGCTCACCTGCAGCCCACGTGGGTTCTGCCCGTGGGAAGCCCAGGCCTGGGCTTTGCCTCCTGTGCTGGGCCTGCAGGTGGCTCTGACCTCACACATCCGGCTCTCGGCTGGCTCCCTGTGCCCATCTACAGCCAGACTGTGGTCAGTCCCTGGTGGCCACCCTTTTGCTGGGCATCAGCGGCGCCAAGGAGCCGGCTCTCTGGAGTGGCCTCGGTCCCACGCCTTTGCTCTCCCGGCCTGTGGCTTCCTTGCGGGGCTCCCTCACGCCCTGCAGTCACCCCCTTGCAACTCCTGCGCCTCCCTGGTCTGCGCCCTGCTTTCTGTGTGCTCAGCTCACGGGGTCGGGGTCGTGGTGTCTGGCCCAGGCGCCATGCAGGAGTGGGTGGGTGGTGGCGCTGGAAGGGAAGGAGCAAAGTGAGGCCGGGAAGGGGTTCTGGTACCCGCTGTCGCTAGCGAAAGGCCAAGGGTGGCAGGCATCCAGACAGTAGTGTGCCCTGGAGGGAGGGACGCCCTCCCGGAGTCCCTGCCACGGGGCCTGCATGGACACCCTGCACAGTCTGGGGGGCCCAGGGGGAGAGCAGTGGCTGGTGGTCCAGAGAGGGCTGTGGCCAGGATGGACAAGGAGCAAGCCAGACTTCAGAGCTGGGGTTGTGGTGGCCCATGGAGCCAGGGCGGCTTCCTGCGCCCAGCCTAGCTGCTGGTGGTGTGGGTCTGGGTAGAGGTGGAAACTCAGTCCTGGGCTGGGTGGGCCTGGAGGACGAGGGAGGAGGCAGGCCTGGGGTTGAGAGGAGGCTTGCCTGCCAGGGCCTCCGCTTCCTGTCAGGGGAACGCTTACCCTCGTGCAGCCAGGCCTCGGGCTTCAGGCCCTGGTTGCCTGAGGGTTACCACGGGGCTCACTGGGGGGCTGCGGCAGCAGCTGGTGGCAGCACCCTTTGGCCAGGGACAGAAGGACCAGATGGCCAGGGCTGTAGCAACCAGGGACTAGGGTTGTGCTAGCAAGGCCCAGGGCCTCTTGGGCCTCGGTTTCCCCATCTGTATAGCGAGGGCTCCCCCTCCCCCCGTTTGGGGCTGGACACGTCTGTGGGTCTTGCCTGTTTGCTGTGTACCTACTGTGTGGGTCCTGACCACAGGCCCTGTGTACTTTGTGGATGCCCCATATACCTGGCAGAGGGGCGGCCAGGGTGGCCGCTGGCATTGTCCCTCTCCAGTGGGCGTGTAGCTGAGCGGCTGGTTTCCAGGCTCTGAGGTGCCGGGGTTTTCCTGCTGGAAGGGAAGTGCCCTTCTCCCAGCTCTGGCCCCAGCATCCTGCCAGGCTCTGGGGAAGCCTTCACAGCCTGGTCCAGTTCTCTCTCTCCGAGTGGGGTGGGACAGGCTGGGCAGGAGGGTCCTAAGGGCCAGGATGTGGAGCCCTCAGCCTCGTGGGCAGGAGGGTCTTTTTTACTTGAGCCGGCATCTGGAGTCTGTGGAGGGGACACAGTGGGGTCCTTGGAGCCTCGGGATGGGGGCAGGCAGGTAGCCTCGGGTACCTGACCACCCTCCCATGTCCACAGCGCTCCTTCACGCTCATCGTAGAGGCCTGGGATTGGGACAACGACACCACTCCAGACGGTGAGTGAACCCACCGGGCAGCCGGGGAGCTGGCTGCCGCAGGCCCGGCCTCCGCCCTGCCACCCCTGGGCTTGCTTCTCTGTCTGCAGGGGTCAGAGGCTCAGGCTCCAGGACTGCTTCCTCTACCTGGAGGGTCTTGTGGGCGGTTTGCCCTTTTTACCCCGCCTCCAGGAAGCTCGGCCATGTTGCACACCTTCCTGCTCATGGCTTCAGTGTTGCTCTCCTGTGGGGCCCAAGTTGGTTATGTGGAGGAGCAAGACACCCTCCAGTGGCCCATTTCTGCCTAAGCAAGGCCTCAGGAGGGGTCTGGAAGCCTGGTTAGCAGAGGCCCAGCGAACTGGTCACCCCTGGCCTGTGCTAATGCGGAGGGGAGACGTGGGGTTCCTGAGTCTCCTGTGGAGGTCTGGGGAGAGATGGCACAGAGCCAGGGCTACCTTGGCCTATGGCACCTGCCCCACCACTCCTTGAGGGCCAGCTAGGCCCATGGGGGTTGAAGACCAAGGAAGGCTCTTTTAAGATGGAGCAGTAAGTTAGACATAGTGTCCGTGTGTGTGTGTAGTCCCAGCTACATGGAGATGAGGATAGAAAGACCATGGGCCAAGGCCAGACTGGGCAAAAATAGGAGACCTTATTTGAAAAGTAACACACAAAAATGGCTGGAGCTGTGGCTCAAGTGGTAGAGTGCCTAGCTAGCACCTTCAAAGCATTGAGTTCAAACCCCAGTTTTAAAAACACGAGGCTGGGAATGTGGCTTCGTGCTAGAGTGCTTGCCTAGTATGTATGTAGCCCTGGGTTTGATTCCTCAGTACCACATACACAGAAAAGGCTGGAAGCAGTGTGGTGGCTCTAGTGATAGAGTGCTAGCTTGAGCAAAAACAAAACAAAAGCTCAGGGAGAGTGTTTAGGCCCTGAGTTCAAACACCAGGACTGGCAAAAAAAAAAAAAGAGAAAAAAGATGGGGTCAGTAGAGTGTGCCTGGAGCTGCCAGGTAGCTCTGGCTGTGCAGGTGGACGGCTGAGTGCTGCCCCCCTGTGGGCCAGACATCACGCCCTGCAGGGGTGCTAGCCAGCATGGGGCACCCGGTTGTCAGTGGAGGGCTCACGCCTGCTGGGGCCTGGGGTTTGTGCCCTGGCGTAGCCATGGTCTCCCCAGGGAAGCCTGTGGTCCAGCCTTTTCTCCTTACAGGCCCCAGCCTCCTGTGCCATCCACCTTGTGGGTATGGGCTGGAGCAAGAATGTTGCTCAGGGTGGCTGGGCAGGGCGGGGCGGGGCTCTGTGCAGCTCTGGGCCTGCGTGTCCAGTGTGCTCTGGCTAGTATTGGGACCTTTCATCCTCCCAGCCACTGCAGGTTAGAGCTAGGTTGTTCCCTGTCCCTCGACGGGCGGGCCAGGTTGGTTTCTTGGGCCTGTAGCGGTGGTGATGTAGCTGGCTGTCTCTGTTGCCCTAAAGAGGACCTGCTGATTGAGCGTGTGTCCCACGCTGGCATGATCAACCCGGAGGACCGCTGGAAGAGCCTGCACTTCAGTGGCCACGTGGCTCACCTGGAGCTGCAGATCCGGGTGCGCTGCGACGAGAACTACTACAGTGCCACCTGCAACAAGTTCTGCAGGCCCCGCAATGACTTCTTCGGCCACTACACCTGTGACCAGTATGGCAACAAGGCCTGCATGGACGGCTGGATGGGCAAGGAGTGCAAGGAAGGTGTGTGGGTAGAGCCTAGGCGGGCGGGGCCCGGAGGGGGAGGGGCCTGGGGCGGAGCTGGGCCGGGCCTGGCTGAGCTGCTGAGCTGGCTGCATCTAGGCTCTCCACCCCTCTGTTCACAGCCGTGTGTAAACAAGGATGTAATTTGCTCCACGGGGGATGCTCTGTGCCTGGGGAGTGCAGGTGAGCACCTCCGCGCCTGCCCCTTCTTTGCCCTTGCATGGGTTCAGCAAACAGTTGCTGGTGCGCTGTGGCACCTGCCCCGCACCACGGGTGGGGTGGGAGGGGAGATGGGCGTGGTGCGGGGAGGAGGGCCGCAGGGTCAGGCGGAGGATGCGGGGACCTTGCTGTTCTGGGTGTGGTGGGTGGAGGTCAGTAGCTTCCCAGGGACAGGCGCTGGGCGCAGGGTTCCCTGCAGAGTTGTGCTGAGTGGGGGGCTCAGAGGGTGGTTGTAAGGACTGGGGGGCCACAAGTCAGGTTTGGGGGTGAAAGCAGAACTCACAGACATCCTTCTCAGGGGCCAGGGTTTGATACGGGACTGAGAGGAAGCGTGTGGGGTCCGGAGAGGGAGCGGGGAGGGAGGTGGGTGTGGGAGGGGCAGGGCAGGTGGGGAAGGAGGGCTGGACAGGACGGGACGGGAGGGGAGGTGTCTGGGAGAGGCCGAGGCCTGCAGTGTGCAGCCGTGTTTAAGTCCAGGGGAGCGGAAGGGGAGGCTGAGAGGAGAGCCATGGCCCCGTCAGGTGGGAGTGTGTGGACTCCGCACCCAAGACTTGGGAGGAGGCCCCGGAGGCCCTCACAGAGCAGGTGGGGTGGAGCAGGGGCCCGGCGGTCCCACGCAGCACTGTGGAAGGGCTGGGGTCAGCTGGCAGGAGAGGGAGAGGCAGCGGGTGCTCTGTGCTTCATCTCCCAACCCTGCATCATTCCGCCTCCCCTCCCCTCCCCCTGCCCCTCCCCCTCCCCTCCAGGGCTGGAGTGCCCCTCATTTTCTTCACTTGGTGCTGAGGCACAGATGTTAGGTAATTTTCCCAAGGCTGAACGGAGAGGGGGCAAGCAGCCCCAGGCTGGGGTGGGCAGAGGGGTGGGGCTGAGGGGAGGTGGACAGGGGGGTGGGGAGGGGGG